AGGAAGAAGTTCACTCGGTGATTAATGAGATTTAGTTAACTCCTGGCAGTTGCCTTTAGGTTAGACTTATCAGGACTCAAGTCTTCATTCCATGTGCAGTCTCCTGGGAGGGTGCCATGATCACCTCGTACCTGTAGGGTGCTTCTTTGCTATGTCTGTAATTAATGGGTTCAGGAACCACTTACCCCTTACCTTATTGCTCTTGTGAGCAAGTGGTTACCTGCTGATGGTGGGCTGGTTGCTTATAATTTCTTGGCAAAAATGTAACTGGTATTTTCTGCAGCTTGTTTGCTAATTAGCCTCTCCTAAAGACAGTAGACATTGAACTCTAAAGTTATGTTAAGGTACAGAATTAATGTAGTGAAAACCACAATGGGCTAACCTTGGAACACCTTCTGACATAGTTGAAGAGGGGCAACCACAAAGTAGACATCAGAATTCAGTTATTTTTAAGGATCCTTGTAGACCCGTAATTGTGGTTCACACTTATAATCCCAGCTACTCAGGACATAGAGATTGTAGTATTGTAGTCTGAGGCTGGCCTGGGCAAAAACTGTGAAAATATGAAAAGCAAAAGGGCTGGGACTGTGCTTGCCTAGCAAGTGCAGGGCCCTGTGCACAAGCTCCAGTATGGAGGTGAGGAAGAAAAGAAAGAATGTCCTCTAGCTCTTAATATTTTTCCAGGATTATAGATATAATGTTGACTACACAATGAGTAAAAGTTTATTGGGCATTCTTGTACTTTTCTTTGTAAAGTTTTTAATGTCCCTGTGGGTTTTAGTTTGTTTTGAAGTAGGAATTTAGTATGTTACTTAACCAAGGAGCACTATATGTATATTGTCTTTAGGGTGACAAGGGATGTATCTTCTTCTTTTAATGTTACTTTAAGTCAAGTGGAAAACAACTTTCTAATATATTGTGTGACTTGAAGCAGTGAGATTGTTACACTTCCTACAAGGAGGCTTTGAATCATGTTGATGCTTCTAGGGCTTATCCTAAAAGTCATCTATAAAGGCATTGTGGCAGTGGCCTTTGTTCTGTTTCTCTACCTGTTCCTAAGCCCACAACAGCCAAAGGACAGTTTCACGATATATGAAAGATAATGTATAATATCAACATTATCTTTTTTATTTTTAGTATCATTTTATTAAGAAAAGTAAATAATACAGAGATGAAAACAGAATAATGTTGAAATTGTCTTAAGAAGGGGGAAGGGAGAGGGGAGAATGACGGAGGGGATAAATCTAACTAAGATATATTGTAAGCACATATGTAAATATCACAATGTATCCCCCTATACAGTTATTACCTGCTAATAAAATTTTTTCAAAAAGCTAGTGAAATTTGAAGTTTGGCTCACCATTAGCTGGGATTTTTTTTGTGTTAATGGTCGTCACCCGTGGACTTGGTGTTAGGTGACTTTGGTGGGACGTGGTAGGCATCTGTGAGTCACATGGCTGATTCCTGGCCTCCCATGCTCTCAGTACATGTTAAAGTTTTTTAAACCAAGTTAAAGTCATTTTTCTGTGAGTTCTGGGAACCTCTAAAAAGAAGATGCTATTTGAAAACTAGTGGAGCTTAGGGTAGATCATACTGAAATTTTATCTGAGGAAAACAGTTTAAAAATACTAATTTTGGAAAATTTAAAAGAAGAACTAGTTCAGTAATATTTTCATGTATTAAAATTGATTTAGCGATATTTTTACCCAATACCTGTAGAATGGAGCTGTTTTTATGGCCTCCATTTGCTTACTTAGTTTTACAGTACCGGGATTGAGTTTGGGGCCTTGGGCACTCCCCACCTATACGATGACCCCCACCCCCGCCTCCTTTTTTTTTCTTTTTAAACAATTCCAAATTAACGTTTTCCAAAATACTATTTTTCTTATATACTTAAGAACGAATATGGTAAAAGTGTTGCAGACTTAATTACTAATTTTACTTACTACTGTTGCTGCATAAGTTGTCTATGAAATAACTGACTGAAGGGCTTGACGTTCATTCTTTTCATGTGCACAGTCATCACAGTACAAGCAGCGAAACTCTTGAGGCAGTTTCATTCACGACCTCTGAGTAGGCAGCACTCAGTCTTAGCTTAACCTTCTTGGTTGCTTATGCTGAGTTAGTAAGATGAACTCTCAAGAGTCATGACATTTAGCTGTGCGTGTCTATAATCCTGCCCCACGTAGGCTGAGGCAGGGGGATCTTTAGGTTGAGGCCAACATGGGCAACACACAGGTTAAACAGTAACCTTGTTAGAGGGGACAAAGGCAGTGACTTACAGCATTTGCACAGTAACCCCTTGGCTAATTGCAGTCCAGAGGACCTTGCTGGGAGGAAATGAGCAATAGTACACCTTGTATAGTATATCCACCGTGTACATGTGACATAAACTACCTCAAGAACATACGTAATCATAAAATATAGTAAGCAGGAGGTGATGAGTTTGAGTATTTATTGCTTGCTTTTAGTTTAGTTTATTTGGTTGCAGTGTTGTATAGTTTAGCTTTTGTGGTAGTGCTGGGGTTTGAACTTATGGCCTTGTACTTGCTAGGCAGATGCTCTACTACTTGGACCATGCCCTCAGCCCTAATTTTGTTTTTAATAATGACTTGCAAAAGTCCTAACAATTTAACATCTGGCACTCCAGAGCCAGTACAAGTAGTCTCTAGTGTCGTAGTGTGTGTCAAACTTAAATCGCTCCTAAAGTGGAACAAATCAGGGATGCCAGGCCGTGATCCATGGGCAGCTTCTCGGAGAGTGTGGAAAGCTGACTTTTTTTTCTGTTTTTTTTTTCCTCTCAGAACTGGGGCTTGAAGTCAGGGTCTTCACCTTGAGCCACTCTACCAGCCCAGTTTTTTGTGATGGGTTTTTTCCAGATAGGGTCTCATGAACTGTTTCCCTGGGTTGGCTTCGAACTATAATCCTCCTGATCTCTGTGTCCTGAGTTGCTAGGATTACAGGTGTGAGCCACTAGCTCCTGCCTATAAAGCTGACATTTTATGCAGAAAATGAGTATGTCTTTCTGAAGAGAGAGATTTGTTGAGTACCTGATGCATGCCTGCTGTTGTGTTGTCTGGATTGGGTACTCTGCCCTCACCCAGCTTATAGACTATGGGGAGGACAGGCATTTGTCAAACAGCCAAATTAAAAATGATGAATGCATAAGCCAAATTAGAAATGATGAAGCTTGTGTGTATATCCAATGCGGGGCTCAGGAAAGGCATTCCCAGAGGTGGTACAGGAACTGAGGCCTTAGGAAGAAGAAGGAGGCTTGGTGAGGGGAAGGTGAGGAGCTGTGCTGCAGGGTACCGAAGTTGTCAAAAGCTCAGGACCTTAAGCCAGGGTAGATGGGGAGCTCAAATTAACAACCACAGCCTGGCAGGCCCACTAGGTCGTGGTAAGAATTTTGGTCTTGACCTTGAAAGCATCGAGAAGACTGAAGACAACGAAGCAAGGGGTGATCTGATAATCAGTGCTCCACTTGCCAAGGGGGAGGCTGTGTGAAGGATTGGTGGTTAGTAAGAGTGGATGAGGGACACGAGTGACTGTGTGAGTGATTTGGATAGAGGTGGTGGTGGGGAGATGCAGTCTTCACCAAGAACTTACTGAGCACTTAGTGCATCACGGCTGTACAAGGTCAGGGAATTTGGCAGAAAATGAGTCCCAGTTCCTGCTCTTGGGGCACTCACATCGGCTCAGGAGGGGCAGTAGGCACAGCAGTAACTAGTGACTTGATGTCATCAGAAGGAATTGAAGGACTGGGCTGTGGTTTTTTGGATTGTTTTTTAATTCTTTTCTTCCTGCCTTAAAGAGTATTACTCAAATAATTAAGATGGGTAGTTTTAGTTTTTCCATATGGGTTATGTTAATTACTAATAGGCTTACTTTCGTTTTGAATAGTAATAATGTCAACTAATATTTTAAGTGTACTATGAATGTTCTGGAAGAAATAGGCTACGAAGGGATCTGGATGGAGAAAGACCAAGGAGACATAACCAAATGTAATGTGTGATCCTGGAATGGGTCCTACATCTTTGGGTGGCTGGCATGCTGAACAGATTAAGAGTTTGGACTATAAATGATACAAAAGTGTTGTCTCAGCTTCAATTTCCTGAATTTGGTCATTGTATTATGATTATGGAGGCCAGCATTACCTTAGGAAATGCACTTGAGCATGGAAGAGCAGTGGGGCACCACAGAAGTATTGTCCTCGAAGTGACTCAGAATATGATCAATGAACGTTTGGACGGGACACACAGAGTGTTAGAAATGTGGCAGACAGGAGGTTCCTGTAACACTACTGTTCCTTTTCTGTAAATTTGAAGTAGTTTTACAAAAATGATGAAGCAGCCAGAGGTCTATATGAAACTCTGCACATGAACGCTTATTTGGTCATTCCATCATGTGAGACATATAATATTGCTAGTCACATTTTCAAGATGAGGAAACTGTAGGCTTAAAGGTTAGGTAACCTAGTAGCATGTATTCTCACAAAGTGGTGAGGCAGGTGTTTGATCTCCTGTGCAAACAAAGTAATAGTGCCTCTCTCTTTAGCAAAGTAGGGGCTGGGACGTAGCTCAGTAGTAGAGCACTTGTCCAGCTTGCAGAGGGCCCTGGATTCCCTCCCTACCCCCAGCACTGGGAGAAAAAAAACTAATTTATGAAAGTGGTTTTCAAAAGTTAAATGGCTGTTAACAGTCCACCTGCCCACTCCATCCCCCCTCACAGAAATCATTCGTGGCACATTCTGGAAGTTCTGCATGCAGTGGGGGCGTGTTTGTGTTCTTCAGAATGGTGGTATGATAAATATGTTTTCAATTCACATGGTGTTCTGATTCCATCTTGTACTCTTTACTGAAGACTTTGTGAAGGACTTTGTGTGCATAAATTTATTTTGAAACTCTCATTAAAATGTCTTTCTTAAGGTGAGTGCAGTCCAGCTGGGAGCTCTACTAGATGCACTGTGTATATTAACCCTGGCCTTTGGCTTTTGGCAGGTGGTTCTGGAATGTATGCTTAAAAAAGACCTCATTTATAATAAAGTCACTCCCACGTTTCACCACTGGAAGATCGATGACAAGAAGTTTGGCCTTACCTTTCAAAGTCCTGCTGACGCTCGTGCTTTCGATAGAGGCATCCGAAGAGCTATTGAGGACATTGCTCAAGGTCGGTCTTCTCCGTGGCGCTCTGAGTGTCAGTAGAGGCTGTCTTAAACATTTACTCAAAGGAGTTCTTGCACAAAGTCAGCCTTTGTGTTAGCGATCAGACTTTGAAAGCTCAAAATAAGTAGATAAAATAGTAAACTTGTTAGCCTGCTTTACGTTTGTCACATCACAGTCTGTGCAGCTTGCGTGTGTTGTGAAGAGCCTGTCATCAGCCTGCAGACTAAGCCAGGAGCGGTAAGGTTATCAAAACCCTAGTGAGGTACCCTGCTTGCTCTGTGCCACACAAGTCACACCCTTTCCTGCTCACATTCAAATCTATGTAAACGTGAGTTAATCAGTGACAAAGCCCACAAGCGATGTCAGTTTTGATGTGTGGCAGAGGTCACCACCCCATCTGTTTATTCCTTTATTATCCTGCCAGTCTCCTGAGATGACTCACCCAAAAGCATGAAGGTTTTGAATGGAGGAAGAATTTATTTTCATGTAAGACTGGCTTAATGCTTTTTTAAGCAAAAAGAGATCATGTTATTCCCACAAAGGGAGAAATAGCTAGGACGTGATTATTTTTCCTAATTAGAAAGGAAAGTATCTGTATTAGTGAAAATAACTTTCTGTATAAAGTAACTGAATCAAAATATGTTAGCTGGGTGTGGGACAAATGTCTGTAATCATAGCCTTTGGGAAGCTAAGGCAGGAGGATGGAGAGTTGAAGGCCAGCCTTTGCTCCCCCCAAAAACAAAGGTGTGCTGGATGATGTTGTGATTCGTATATTTTTAAGATGCACTTTATAGGAAAATTGGAAGAAATGGGCTACTTGTGAGACAAACCACAGGCAAGAACATGGAATGCTTAGTACAGATATGTTTTGATAGTGCATGAGACTGTGGTACATAGTTTATTTAGCTACTTTAAAAGATTAGAATTTGGTAAACAAGCAGCCTTTAATTTCTTCTTCAGGAAAAATGAACATGAAGTGATCATCAATGCTTTGTTATTACAAGAACCGCTAAATTCTCCCTAGATCAGTGTTCTCAACCTTGGCTACTGTTAGAATCACCTAGGAAGCTTTTGAAGGGTTGCATGGGCCTCACTACAGACCAATTGAATCTGACCTCTGGGGAGGGAGCTGAGTTATCACCCCCCCACCCCCACTTTCTCAAAGCTCAGACAAACTTCACATGTGTCGAGGTATCATTCCCATAGTCAAATGACTGTGACTTGAATTTGAAAAAACTAAGAAAGATAAGTATGAATCCTAGGATTCCTGAGCTGTGGTTGTGGTGCAAGATTCCCTCTGGCTTGCCTCCACAGAGATCTGGCGTTTTGTTTTGGCCTGTCCTCTACCATCAGTGTGTTTTCTGAAGAAGAAAATCATTAGGCATGGCTGCTGAGATTTAAATGCTGTATTTTAAAGTTTTCAAGTGATTAAGCCCATGTTTATGCACCATAGGAGTATACGACATGTAGTTTGGACTTAACAAGTTTTACAAAGTGAGTTTTAAGGAGGAACTTAAACTTCTAGCCCGGAGGAAAAGACTGCAGTCCTCAGACTGTCTTATCTTTGAGCAGGCAAAGCAGCATTACTATCAGCTGCTCTGTGGACCGAACAGTATCACCGAGTTTCTTTTACTTAGTTTTCTATGCCAGTAATAGTAAACTAAGCTACTTAATTTGTTTTTATCTCATGTCGACTGCATTCTAGCTGTGTCTCTGGAGGGTAGCATAAATAAACGTCATTTTTTAATTATAACTAAAAGCACTCTTCAGTACTGAAAACCACACAGAGACAGCAGTGTACAGAATTGGCCATTGACTGTCCTTAGCAAATTGTGACTCATTTGTTTTCTTTTTGAACTAAAGCAGCTAAAATCCTAGTTCTGTTTGCTGGGTCAGAGCACTTAGAAAAATTGAATGAGTTCATGTCAACATCCCCTAACATCCAGAGGAGCTGCCTAGCAGTTTGTTTGGGAGAAGTCAGGGTAGGACTTGCTGAAAATAATACACTTTCAGAGGAAGCATCTCTTAAGTAGGTAACCGGAAATGTACCTGTAGAAGGTGGAAACGGCCACTTTAGTCTCTGTTACTCTAACAAAGGGGCAAGTACAAGTGACCAGTGTTTAACTGTTGCCAGGCAACCCAGAATAATCTGATCAGTATTCTGAAGTATTATAATGACATCTTCACTTAGTGTTAACATTAAAATGTGAGACAAAATGTGTATGTTTAATTAATTTTGACCTCTTTTCTTAGGATGCCCAGCATCAAAAAATGAAGCTGAGGGAGCCGACGGTGACTTACAAGTGAGTAGTTTGTCCTGAAAGGGATTTCTGAACATGGAGGGCCTGTAGGAAATCATCAGCTTATACACCAAGAAGGAAATTTCAAAGACTCCGTATTTGTCTGGGTTTTTAGATAGACAGAGCCAATATGTAGAGGTTTGGTTTTGTTTTAAATTAAGAATTGGATCACGTGATTGTGGGGGTGGAAGCCTGAAATCTTCAGGGTGGGCAGCAGGCGGGCAGGCATGCTGGAAGTGCATGATACAGTCTTGAGTTGGACTCCAGGCTTCTCTCTTATACTCAGTGTCTGCTGATTGAAATGCTACTCCCATCTGAAAAACAGCTCCACAGCTGAGAATCCAACACTGAGATTGCTGCTCCAGCAAACTGGGCACACCATAAAACCTGGCCAGATTGAAACAGAAGGTTAGCATCACAAATAGCTCATCCTCCAGGAGAAAAGATACAGGCGGGAACAATTTCACAGAAAAGAAATTGGAAATTGCTAATAAGTATATGGCACCTTTACGTTTTAACTCACTGGTAATCCACAGGTAATATAAGTTAAAGTAAATTAGCAGTTTAAGATACCAGATGGCCAGAGGTTTTTAAAAGTGCTGCTTGCCAATGCTGTGCCTCTGTGAGGCTGACAGATTGATGCCACCTGGGAAAATATAAGTTGATGCATTTTTTTCAACAAAGCAGTTGTCAACATGTATTGAAAAGCCTTAAAAGTGGAAAGATTTATGCCTATTGATCTAGTTATTAATTTGCAGTAATGTATATCAAGGAAATAGAGCCTATACAAAAATATTTATGCATGGATTTGGTTTCACAAGTTTGTGTGTGTGTGTGTATTTGATAAAAATAAGGAACTATCTAAGTAGCTAACAGTAGCATAATATTAATGGCTGGAAAACATGTATCTGTTATAGACCCATTAAAAGATTCTCTTGCAATATGCTAAGCAATAAAAATACAAAAATGATAGAGTATTATTATTACTTGGATAAAATACTAATTTCATATATATAAATTTTTTTGGTACTGGGGCTTAAACTCAGAGCCTACACTTAAGCCACTCCACCAGCCTTATTTATTTATTTATTTATTTGTTTATTTGTGAAGGGTTTTTCAAGTTAGGGTCTCATGAACTATTTGCTTGGACTGGCTTTGAACCATGATCTTCCTGATCTCTGCCTCCTGAGTTGCTAGGGTTATAAGCATGAGCCACCAGCGCCCAGCTATATTTTTCTTTTTTTTTGTGGTACTGGGGTTTGAACTCAGGGCCTCACACTTGCTAGGCGGGTGCTGTACCACTTGAGCTACTCTGACAGCTCGTTTTTTGTGTTGGGTATTTTTTGAGATAAGGTCTTGGTTTCATTTTGCCTGTGCTGGCCTCGAACAGATATCCTCCTGATCTCTGGCCCCCTGAGCATCTAGGATTATGGGAGTGAGCCACAGGCGCCTGGCTTAAATCTTTTCCTTGGTTACTTTTGGATTATAGGTTTCTCAGCTATATGACTTTCTTTTTAATACTTTTTTTGGGTATTTTTCATGTTTGCTTCAATAACTATTAATACCTTTATAACAGGAAAAGAACCCCAACTTGTATACCTCTGCTAATTTACCACTTCTTTATTCCTATTATTTTTAAATTGTTGTGACCTAAAGGTATGATAAAATGTTTTGTGTGCATATACATCTTAAAATAAGTAATTCAAAATCAGAAAGTAGAAATTTGTTATAGAAAATGTGCAGTAAATAGCAACATTCGGAGAAAAACGCACATGTGTGTCCCTATCCAGGGTCATCGCCCTACATTTTGAAGCATAGCCTCTGCTGTTTTTTCTGTTCACATAAATGCAGAGACGTGTTTTATGACAGTCTGCTTGATCTTTCACTTAAATACTAGTAATGCTTTGCATCCTTAAATACTTTCCACATTTATAATTTTTAATGTTTCAGATGTATTTTAAAATAAATATACCTATCCTTGATCATATATTTATTTTAAAAAATACAGTGAGTTGTGCTGGGGTTTTTTTTTTTTTTTGGTGTTGGTGTGCGCTGGCTTTAAGATCATCTTTAATGACTTTCCAACCACAGCAGTCAGAACATTGGCACCTGTCTTGTTAAGATATACTGGATTGATAATAAAACCACAACATTCACCTCCTAATGCACTAGAGGCTGTAAGACAGAAAGGTCTTAGACTCTGTGCTTTGGGCAGAGGAAAGACTTGGTTTATCGCAGTGAAAAGCTGTTGGGTTTTCTCTTTGGCCATTGAGAAGTTCTTTCTTGTTTAATCTTTTAAGGAATGAGATAGTGCCATTGCTGTACCAAATGATTAAAAAGCTTTGACTTATACTTATTGTCTGAAGTTATTTTGCTTTTGGATGGTCCTTAGTTACGATGCTGCAGCCAACCTATCTTTAGATTTACAGTTCTACAGCTAAATTCTAAAAACCCTCATAGTTTTTAAATCGAGTTTTAATTATCCAGAAATCGCATAAATTTTGTTTGCTTCTTTGAGTGTGACATTTATATAGAATCCTAGAAATAGGGCTGGGGTGTGGCTTGAATAGTAGGTACCTGCCTCGCAAGCATAAGACCCTGAGACACCCCAGTGCTCTCCCCCAAAATCCTAGAAATAGATCTGCCAAAGAAAGGGTCATAGAAAGGTTTATACAGTCAACAAGAACTGTAATTACTGCTTATTACCTGAAAAAGTGACACATAGTCAGTCAGTGAGTGAATGGTCTCCACAGACAGTGCCACATGTAAGCCACACTAGCCCCCATCAGAAAGTAGCCAGGTTCTGCTGCTCTACGAACCATGGCAGAGCTCCTGTCTTCCTTTGCGACTGTTGATTACCAGCCATTGTGTCTTGTTTCATATCACTTCACGGACTACTGTGGTCAAGTGGCTGAAAGAAAGTACTGTATACTATGAATAGTCCTAGACAGAGATCTTAGACAATTACAGAATTAAAAACTCATGCGGTCAGTTATTCTAATTCCTAAATCATAATCACAAAATTGATAGAACAGGAGTCATTTAAGCCAAATCTAAAATGAATTGACACTGGAAACATTACACCAGACATAGATGACTTTATTGGATTTATGGAATTACTGGGAATTTTTCTTCTTTTCTGTGCTTTTTGAGTAAGTCGGCCTAATTAGAGCATGTGACTTTAAATAGCAGGGATGTTATTACTAAGAATTTTTCAGGCCAGGGGTAATGGCATACGCCTGTAATCCCAGCTACTCAGGAGGCAGAGATTGGAAGGATCGAGGTTGAGGCCAGTCTGGCCAAAAAGATAGCAAGATCCCATCTCAAGTAACAAACTGGGTGTGGTAGTGTGCACTTGCAATCCCAGCTATGTGGAAGGGAGGCAAAAGCATCACTATCCAAGGCTTGCTTAGACAAAAATGTACGACCCTTTCCAAACAATAACTAAAGCAAATAAGAACTAGGGGAATGGCTCAAGTGGTAGAGCACCTGCCTAGCAAGCTTGAGTTCAAACCCCAGTACTGGAAAAAAAAAAGAAAAGAATTTCTTCTGTTGGTTGTGATGTAGCCACATATTTTTTAAACCCCTGATTTGTGATAAACAACTACAAAAATGAAGTTCCTGAGCAAGTGTAGAAGGTGATAGCACTTTGTCCACCCTTGTGTACTAGAGACATACATCTAAAAAGGTTTGCTGAGCAGCGCTCCGTTTTCTCTGTCACGAGGGCAGCCAGAGGAGGGATACGATCTGTCCCCATTTCCTTTGCAGCTGCCATCGACCTTATGTTCCCACCAGAGCTGCAGTGGGATGATTTTTCTGCTTCCCCTGTGTCCTCATCTCCACACCAGATTGCTGTAGTATCCTGGGGAAAGAGAAGCTCGCAGTCCTTGGTGGCCACAGGAGAATAGTGATTACACCCACAGCCAGAGGCACCTACCTCCTTGTGCGTGGGTGCTGGCTGGGCTCCTCGCCCCGTGGGGGACACTGGATGGGCACAGCTGCTGCAGGTGATTTTCATTCTGCAGAGCAGGTCAGGTGAGTCATGCTCACTGCCTGTCACGCTGTCCGCTACCATCCAAGATTTCCAGCATGTCCCACCACCAAACTTCATGTTTATTTGTTAATATCTAGATTACTTCCGTGCGCTCTGCCACCAGGCCACGTTTCCAGACTTAAACCTTGTCTTGCATCCACGTGTCCAGCAGGGATTACAGTCTAGTTTAACAGATTCCTCAAAGCCGAAACACTGTTTACTCACTCATGTACAAACGAAGACAGTGTTTTGGTTCTAATTTTATGGAAATGGTCCAGGTAATCTTTTTAGAAGGTAACAATAGATATTTCCGTGTGAGATTGGCAGACTGTAAATGATAAGGCCCAATATGGGGACAGATGTAAGGACATGTCTGGTCACTAGCTTTTGCCCCCAACTGGGTCCTTTTCACGCTCAGAAAATAACAAGGCTGGGCACCAGTTGAGCAGTGGGCAGAACAGAAGTGAGACATCAATGAACTTCTCAACCCTGGGCACCGGGAGGTGTCATAGACACAGAGTCGGAGGTGAGGGAGAGGCTCTTTTTCTCCTTTTAAATCATCACCTGTCATGGCTGGTATGTCATTTAGCAGGCAGGCGAGATGGTAATGAAGTTAGAGGTTGTATGGTGACCACTCTGGCAGCCATCTTAGCTCCACCACTTCCAGCTAACCACCTAAAGAGGGACTTCTGCCCTTCAGGCATCTGTCCCCAGCTGGTTGCTTAGTCAGTACTTGGGGTTATAGTCCCTGTGTCACAGACGACTGTGGGGAACAGCTCCGTGATCTGTGAGTGTGCAGAGGGTAGCTTTGTGATGGTATCCTTCATTGAGTAACTCCACCTCTGGGGTTCACGGCCAGGAAGTATCACTACAGCACCCAGACGTGTGTGTGAAGGTGCGTAGCTGGGAGCGGATACAGTGAAGGCTGGGAAATGACCCATATGCACATTAGAAAACAGCGGCTGGCGTT